TTTATTTATTTATTTATTTATTTATTTATTTATTTATTTATTTATTTCTACTCAGCTGACCACCCAGGGGCCGGGACCGAAGGCCACCCTTCAACCCAGCAGTGCTGGACTAGAATCGCCTGGGTTTTTGCTCCCTTCTCGTCGAGCGAGCGAGCGAGCGAGCGTCTTCTTATAGACCTGCCATGGTTTGTGAGAGAGAGAGAATGAAATGTGCAATATGCAGGATGGGGCACAGCATGTTAATATTTTTAGACAAAATCGAACTTTGACATTATTGAATCTGTCTGTTCAAATTTAATCGTTCCAGGGCAGGACAACGTCTGGCTCGAGACCAGGAAAAAGGACACTGGAATGACCGCACGCTGTGCAGCAAGATGCTTAGCTGACAACATTTTTTAGAGAATGAAAAGTTATGGCACCCTCGAGCAATCAAACAAAGGACCGCGTCTACTCAAAGGTCTATCGCGGAGAGCTCCAAAATTTGGATTAATTTTATGCTGTAGGGATTCTGCCAACAGTCTCTATGGCAAAGCAGTGTAATGAAATACAATCTGTATTTTGCCATTTGCCCAGAAGTGTGCATTCACCGTGTCTTGAGTGTCTTTTCTAATGGGGGAGTGTTTAAATCAGTCGATCTGAAGCCAATTTAATTTGTGCATTTGTTTCATAGGACTGCTAAAGGGGGGGGTGGGGGAATACACAGAAAGAAAGAGAAAAAACAACAACAACCCTTGATTATTCCATGATCTGTTAAAACCGAATGGCTTTTCACTGTTGTGTCTAAGGAGATTCTTAATCATCCGGGTCTGAGTTGTTCCCAAAGGTGCTTGTTCGAAAGGATTTTCCTGGTTTTTCCTTGAAGATGTTTCGCTTCTCGACTAAGAAGCTTCTTCAGTTCTGACGTCAGGATGAAGGAAAAACAAAAGGAAGCCCAGTTGCCTTTTGATATTGGCTCCTTTGGTTTTCATGGTTGTGCTTAGCTTTGGAAGACTTGGCTGCATTAAGGGTGCAGGAATCCCCAACCATGGCAACTTTAAGACTTACGGACTTCAACTCCCAGGATTCCTCAGCCAGTCATGCTGCAGGTTGGATACCATACTGGCTGACTGAGGGATTCTGGAAGTTGAAGTCTGTTAAGTCTTCAACATTACGAAGGTTCACGAGCTCCGTATTAGTGCATTCTTCGTACGGCATAGCTTGCATGCAAACCTAATTCCTTCTGCATCTGCTAGAACTGACCTCTCATATCTCCTAACGCAGAATGTCAGCAGATCTAGAGGAAACTAGGTTTGAGTTTGTTTGGCTGATCTCTTTTATCGATCATCTCAGTCTCTTAATTCTAATACCAAATTCTACACTGGTCACTTCTGCCTTGCTCAAATCTATAAGCAACACAACTCTTGAACTGTAGCTTAAAAATCGATACTCAGCGTGTTTTCGAGGTATGGTATACCTGGGTGAAGGTAGCCTCATGGTCTACCAGGGCAGGAATAAGACCTTGCGACTTGCTGATGTTACTGGACTACAATGCCCATCATTCCCAGGGGTGGGTTTTAAATTTTTTTACTACCGGTTCTGTGGGCGTGGCTTATTTTGTGGGTGTGGCTTGGAGGTCGTGTGACTAGGTGGGCGTGGCTAGCTGGTCAGAGTCATTTCTGGAAGGTCCACGCACTTACGACCAGTCCTTGCACTTACGACCCGACTCATTTGTTTGCTTTTAACACGGATCAGCTGTAGGACGGCCCTTTGAAGCCCTGCGGCAAGAGTTTAAACAGGTTTTTTCCCTCTAGTCATCAGCTGGGACTCAGGAGGCAGCAATAGATTGGGGGTGGGACCAAATAAAAGGTAAGAATAACGTGGGGTGGGGGGAGGGCGGGGGGGGGAGAACCGGTTCGGTGACATCATATCGTCACCGCTACCGGCTCGGCCGAACCGGACCGAACCGGGAGGAACCCATCACTGATCATTCCCCACTATTGACCACCATGCTCAGAGATATATTTGGAGGGCTATGGAGTTCCTTCTCCCAGTCTAGAGCTTGCTGAGAGTCAATTTTTCAGCAATTACTTATAATCATAAGACGGGAGTTAAGATGCAGGATTGTGCAATGCAGGCAGATGGAACAGCCCTGAGTCTTTTTTCATTTAATACATCATGCATTTTCTATAATAGTAAAGCTTAGAGAATTTAGTGCAAATCTACAGATTGGCCAACATATTCTAAACCTTGAAAAAATAAAATACACGTGATAGATTAATATGGATATGATAAGCCTAAGAAATCTTTAAAAATATGCAGGCTGTCAACCTTTCTGCTGATTTTCAAGAAATCCAACTGTGATGGAGAACACAGTATTTTTCCTTCCAATATATAGTACTTCATACCATCTTCACCTTTATCCATTCCTGTTGAGGTTTTTTTTTCCTCCTAGTTAGATACAACTCTGCAGTTTATGAAATACTTATGGTGTCTAAAAGAGGGATTATTATTCATGGGCTTCACACTTATTTATGATGCCATCTTATGGGGGCTAACTGCCATTAAACTCGGAGTAAGATTACACTCCTTGTTTACCTATTTGCATTATTCCTCCCATATCTATCTCGTTCTTGACGAGGGTTATTCCATTTTACCCTCATGATAATTCTGTATAATAGGTGAGGTTGACAGACAACTTTAATGCTGAATAGTTCTTAAATACCGTACCTTACACATTAATATCTGCAAAACTATTATTAGGACACTAAGCTTCAAGGTCTTAAGGAAATGTTGTCAAACCTAAACCAACATCATAATCCTTACTTATTTGAAACTGCAATAGTCGGCTAAACTTTCCAAAAGATTGTGAAACAGACTGTGGCTCAATAGCTTGGCCACACCTCAGAAGTTCAACTGTGATGCCATATAGGTAGTCCTCGACTTATGACCATAACTGAGTCCAAAACCTCTGTTGCTAAGTGAGGAATTTGTTGAGTGAATTTTGTCCCATTTTAGGACCTTTCTTGCCAGTGCTGTTAAGTGAATCACTGCAATGTTAAGTGAATGTAGCTTCTCCAATGACTTGGCTCGTCAGAAGGTTGCAAAAGGGGATCACATGACCATGGGACATGGCAACCGCCATAAGTACGAGTCGGTTGCCAAATATCTGAATTTTGATCATGTCACCACGGGGATGCTGCAACAGTCATTGGTGTGAAAAATGACCATAAGTTGCTTTTTTAAAGTACTGTTTTAACTTTGAATGGTCGCTGTTGTAAACTGAGGATTATTTGCCTTACCTTTGAAATCTTTCCGGAAGTTATTATTGTATGTTAACAATACTGACTACCCTGTTTCCCCAAAAATAAGACCTCCCCGGATAATAAGCCCAATCGGGCTTTTGAGCGCATGCGCTAAAATAAGCCCCTCCCCCAAAAATAAGTCCTCCCCGAAAATATTTAAATGCATGCACAGCCGGTCCCCGCCATTTCCTCTGGTTAGGGTTGGAAATCAGGTAAGATGGCAAGAGGAGCCCTGTCTTGTTCCACGCGCCCCAAAATAATAAGACCTCCTCGAAAATAAGGCCAAGCGCTTATTTCAGGGTTCAAAAAAAATATAAGACAGGGTCTTATTTTTGGGGAAACACGGTAGAACAGGGGTCTCCAACCTTGGCAACTTTAAGCCTGGCGGACTTCAACTCCCAGAATTCCCCAGCTTTGCTGATTCAGCCAGTTCGCACCTATTCAGGACAACTGGTTGTTAACTTTCTAAGCAGTTCAGAGAACCAGTTGTTGGAAGAAATCCTATTTTGTTTTTTTCCACTTTACAGGGCTAATCCTGTAAGGAATTACAACATTCTGAAGTTGTTTCTAGCCTAATCTTTATTGCCCTGCTTACAGAAACTGCCTCTCTGGTTAATCTTTATTGCACTGTAACAGCTAAGGCGTTACAACGTGAGTGACATTGAGTTGGCCATGCCCACACGGTCACATGGCTACTGAGCCACGCCTACCCAGCTGGTCATTAGGGCAGAGAACTGGTTGATAAATTATTTGAATCCCACCACTGTTGACACCCCTGCTATAGAAAGTTGCTTTAGTCTGGCAAGATTTCTGTCTATAGGTAAGCAACAATAAAGAAACCACTCGGAAGTTATCTCGGGCCATTTTTGGTTCCTTTGGTCCTAACAACTGCTGATTATAAAGCCAAAGTCCAAATCTTGTTTGTCCAACATTGTTCATAAGCAGGAACTTATTACTTGGTACTTCCTATCATCAGCTGATTTTTTTTAAAAAAAATTGTTAGCTTCTGTAGCAATAATGCATGGCTGTGAAGTTATCAGGCCAGATTGCCTCTCCCTTTTGCAAATTAAGAATAGCTCGCTGGAAGGCTGCCCAAATAAGTCACATATTTGTACATAACAATGTTCACGCCATGTGACAGTAATTGAAATGAAGTGAAAAGGCTTGAAAGCAAGCCAGAAAGGAAATTTGATAGGGTCATCCGGGCAAACACTGCCGGCTGATATGTTCCATATGAACGTGCTATCCAATGTAAGCAGTGCAAATGCCTCGGAAGAACAAAGATATCTTCCATCCACTCGGTTGAAAGCCTTGTTGGGTGGCCTGAAGCCGAGTGTTTCTCTGTTTCTTGTACAAAATGCTCAGAACGAACAGGAACTTACAAAGATGGATCATCCAGAAACATGGAAGGAACCCTGAATGGGAAGCAACTATTTTGCATACTAGCAACAGCACTTAGATTTACCGTGCTTCCCCCAAAATAAGACCGGGTCTTATATTAATTTTTGCTCTAAAAGATGGATTAGGGCTTATTTTCTCCTTAGGTCTTATTTTGGGGGAAAAACAATACTAAATGTCTCCGTCTGCTGACGATCTTAACTGGGGCTTATTTTTGGGGTAGGGCTTATATTACGAGCATCCTGAAAAATCATGTTAGGGCTTATTTTCCAGTTGGGTCTTATTTTCAGGGAAACAGGGTATATACCGCTTCCTAGTGCTTTACAGCCCTCTCTAAGCAGTTTACAGAGTCAGCCTATTGCCCCCAACAATCTGGATCCTCATTTTACCCACCTCGGAAGGATGGAAGGCTGAGTCCAACCTTGAGCTTGGTGAGATTCGAGCTGTCAAATTGCAGGCAGCCATCAGTCAGCAGAAGAAGCCTGCAGTACTGCACTCTAACCACTGCGCCTCATATAAACCCGATTATAGGAAGACACAGTAAAATTATAAAGTAATGACATTTGGGACAGGACCCAAAGGTGCTTTTTTTCAAGAGGCAACTGGACCTTCTGGTTTTTCTTTGAAGACCTTTCGCTTCTCATCCAAGAAAGCTTCTCCAGCTCTGACTGGATGGTGGGGAATGGAAGGATTTATATTCCTTGCAGACAGCTGGTCCTTTGCATTCTTTTAGTGAGTTGTTAAGGTCACCTGGAGGTTCATCTATGTTCTCAGGGTCCCCTGAGTGGAGCCTTCTTGGAATTGTTGAAAGGACTGTGTTGTAGATTAGAGGTAGATGATTTCGTATCCCTCCCTCTCTGTTGAGAGAGGGCTGTTCAATTGCAACATA